CTTGGGCAAAGTCTTTTTCTAGTGACCTTACTGATTATTTCGTTGCAGCTTTCTTTTATGTCACTTGGATAATGATAATATATATTTAGTCCTTCTAAAATTATCGAAATTTCCTTTTAGTCTTGATTATTTTTTGTTCTATTCCAGTCGCCAAATTTAAAAATTTATCACTTTTAGTTCTCCAAGTACTTAGGTAGCGCTGGTCACTTGGATAATGATAACATATATTTATTCCCTCTAAAATTATCGAAATTTCCTTTTAGTCTGGATTCTTTTTTGTTCTATTCCAGTCACCAAATTTAAAAATTCATCAATTTTAGTCCTCCAAGTACTTAGGTAGCGCTTAAAAATTGTTTTAAGATGCTATTTAAACTACTTTTAAGATATAAAAAACTGCATTTCCAAATTTGTGGTACTAAAATAGGACAAAATTTTAGACTAGAAATGTTTTTGAAGGAATAGGAACAAAAACATATTTTACCCTTTTTTTTTTTGATAATAAATGTGTTCTATTAGATTGGTTTAATTTTTCCTGATGTTTGGTTTCATGGAAATGCTCTATTTATAGTTTTAACATTAATATTTGTTAAACTTGTGTATTTTTTTTAATTCTGATTCTTTTCTCGGCAGATTCTTCATTGCTTATCTATTCAGGGCCTTAGCTCATCAGGTGTTGGGAGTGGTACTGGTGGCGTCAATGGTGGAACTGGAAGCAGTAGTGGTGCTTCATTAAGGACAGGTAGCCTTTCAGTTGCTTCTTTATGAGTAATGTCTTTACTTGTTTTGACACGTCTACATGTATTGTGTATGAAATAATGAAGAGCTTCATTCAGAGGTATGACTTTTGAAATGCAAAATCATGAATCTTGATGCTATCTCTATTGTGTATTGGTTTCATAAATCTTAAGAGGTCAACTTGTAAAGTTTTATTTTATGTTCAGTGGTCATGACTTTTCTTATTTATCACATAAAATAAAAGTTTTAGTGCCTATACATGTCAGTGACTTTTCACTTGCATTACTAATTTATTTGTAGTTTCCTTTTCAGTTGTCTATGAGACTACTAGTAGTAAAAGGCCTTTAATTTAATTATTATTCTTTTAAGATAGAATGCTCTATCATAAAATCATGAAATTTGTCTCGATCACCGAACTCCAAGTTTTTGGTCTTGTACTCTGACTTATGTTTTAACATTATTATGGTTGTTTTTGATAAATTGTGACTACCATGAAAGGGGACTACACTCTTGTTATTTCATGTATACCATGTATTGGACATTTTTTCTTTAAAAGTCTTACATAAAAGTTTGGAATCATACTATTGCCACTTTTAAATTATTTATAGCATTCAAGAGAAAAACTGTTTAGTAAATATAAAAAAAACCTCTGATAGGTGCTTCATCTCATTTATTGAAGCCAGTTTATTTCAATTAAGGCATTATAATTCTGTCATTAGAATGGGCCTGTGTTAGTGTCGTCTGCCATAGTGTTTACTTTCAACTTCTTATTGATAGAGGTTTACACTTTACACTAGTCACCACACTAGATGTTATATAGTTGACTATCATGATACATATTAGGTTTGGGTAGTTGTTTTCTTTCATTCATAAAACAAGAACAAGTCATTTTGCAGTAGTGTTATAATCTTGCAATGAACAATTTCCTTAAATTATACAGATTGAAACTCTTCTTAAAGGCAAAGCTTGCTTTGGAATAAAAGAGGCTGCAACTAGTTTGACAAAACATCTTGCACAAAGAGCCCAGGAGACCTTTGAAGAATTTGAAGTGACAATCGAGAAAGATTCTACAAAGACTGCAGTTACAGATGGAACTGTCCATCCTTTGACACACTCTGATTAACTATGTGATGTATTTTTTTTTGAGTAAGTTCAGTGTTTGAGTAAATTCTGTGTTGTCTGATCCCAATTTCGTAGCCATATCTTCTAACCTTTTTTGCCATGTTCATTGATGAGATGACAAATTTGTTGGTCATTATTTATTATCATTCCTTACATGTCAAAATTTTTAAAATTTATTTTACAGTTCTGATTTATTCTGCTCATGGACATTTTAGTGCATTCCTTTGTTAGATTTGCTGAGAGATTGACGAGCCATGTTACATGTTTGGTCACTTAGTTTCTAGGTGTTTCTTTTGTAGTTTTATTGAAAGGATATCTTATTGATAGAATTGGTTCAAAATCTAAAGGAAAGAATTAATTTTTATTGATGAACCTGAAATACCAAATGTTGTGCCATTGTGGTAGCAGCCTTAGGATATAGGGTATAACTAGAAAATAATGAGTGATTAGGTCTGTCTTGAGCCAATCAAATATTTTCAACTCTTTGAACTTGAATTTTATTTTCCATATTATAAAATGATGATGTCTATGAGGGAATTGAGCAATCCCATTATTCTATTTTATTTTTTTATATTTATGAGAAACCGTTTCTTAAAGTTCAATTTTCATTACTTTTGTAAGAAGGATAATGCTATACTCTTCTCTGATGTGTGTGGGTAATTTTTTTCAGGATCTTTATCGTAGATCTGATGTTCACATATTTGACCTGATCAAAATTCTATAAACTTTGCAGCTATCAATCCACCTTGAAGCAACGTTTTCTGGAATTTGAAAGTGGTGATGATTCTTCACAGCTAGCATATGTAACTGTGTGAATAATGCATGCTTTGCAAACCAATTTAGATGGAAAATCAGAGCAGTATAAAGACCCTGCATTAACACATGTTTTTCTCATGAACAATATTTATTATATTGTAAGATGGGGTTTGAGGTATGTATTCGACATATTTTGGTTATGAATTTCTTTAAATCACAATTTTTTTTTTTGCATATTTTGGTTGTTGAAAGTCTTTTTTCCTCTTAACCCTCTTCTGTTCTAGGTCTGAGGCCAAGGATTTGCCTGGGGATGACTGAAGCCAAGGTCTGAAGCCAACGACATAGGAGGATTGTTCAGTAGCATGCAAATCAATAAAAAAGAAAAGGTCTTGTTCTAGTGACCTTGCTGACCATTACATGTCTTGCAGCTTTCTTAGATGTCAGTTGGATAATAATAAAACATGTTTAGCCCCTTTAAAATTATCAAAATATATTTTGGTTATGAATTTCTTTAAATCACAATTTTTTTTACATGTTTTGGTGTTTGAAAGCCTTTTTCCTCTTCACCCTTTTCTGTTCTTGGTCTGAGGCCAAGGATTTGCTAGGGGATAACTGAAGCCAAGGTCTGAAGCCAACGACATAGGAGAGTTGTTCAGCAGCATGCAAATCAATAAAATAGAAATGCTTGGGCAAAGGTCTTGTTCTAGTGCATGTCTTACAGCTTTCTTAGATGTCACTTGGATAATGGTAAAATATGTTTAGCCCCTCTAAATTGATCAAAATTCGCTTTTAGTCTCTTTAATTATTTTTTCGTCCTATTTCAGTCCCCTAAATTTAGAAATGCATCACTTTATTCCTCCAAGTACATTGGTAATGCTCAAAAATGGTTTTAAGTAGCTATTTAAACTACTTTGAAGATAAAAAAACTGTGCATTCCAAAATTTCAGGGACTAAAATAAGATAATTTTAGAAGGACTAAAACTGAACTTGAAAATTTTTGGAGGGAATAGGAACAAAAACTGATTTTACCCGTTTGTTTTTGATAATGAAGGTGTTCTAGTAGATTGATTTGTTTTTTCTTGATGTTTTGTTTGATGCGAACGCTCTATTTCTTATAAACGTTAATATTTGTTAAAGTTGTCTATTTTTTTTTTAATTTTTATTCTTTTCACGGCAGATTCATCAGTGCTTATCTATTCAGGGCCTTTGCCCATCAGGTGGCAGGAGTGATACTGGTGGCGGCGATGGTGGAACTGGAAGCATTAGTGGTGCTTCATTAAGGACAGGTAGCCTTTCAGTTGCTTCTTTATGAGTAATGTCTTTACTTGTTTTGACACGTCTACATGTAATGTGTTATCAGGTTTAAGAAATTTAATGTTATGTTTGAGGAACTCCATTAGAGATAATCTTAGTGGACAGCTTCTGACATCCATCTGCTAGTGTCTCTCAGGCCTGCAGTTGCTGAAGTCTTGTTGGTAGCCTATAGATCGTTTGTCAATCGTTTTGGGTCGGTTCTCATTTTAATTTATGTCATTCCTATTTAATATGTGGGGGAATAATTGTATCCATGAATATGAAATGATGTCTTTTTCCCCTTCGAAACAAAAATACATTTACTTATGTTTGCTTTTGATGCCTTGTGGTTTTTGTATGATTTATTAGTACCTTGCAATAAGTGCATAATTGGGAACCTACTGTGTCGCAGGCCTCTTGTGGAGACTGGTAAGAATCCTCAGAAATACATCAAATACACAACAGAAGATCTAGACCATATGTTGGTTAAATTTTTTGAAGGAAAAAAGATGAGTGAAACAAAGCGGTAAAATAATTGCTGATAACTTAAGATAGTTCTATTTTAAATTTAGCGTGATTGTATTTGGCGGTTATTGGTTAATGCCTTTATTTTGCATTGGTTTCTTTTCTCAATCTCACTTGTTCTAATTCACCAGGTTGTATTTGGTAGCTGAAAAGGAGTTATAGTTTGTTTTTTGTGTGATAAGATGGTGAATGATTTTGTATAGTTTGCTTGATTTGCTGCTTGAGTTGTTAGGGTGTGTTTGGAAACTCGTTTATAGAAGTTTTGCATTTTTCAATGTATAAAGGTTGAAGCTATGCCAGTGTTGGATTGATGTTGAATGTAGGTTAAAGTCAATGGAATTGATATAGTATTGAAGGGAAATGTATTTCTGCCACGGGTACTAGTTTGTGATTTTAGCAGTCTTGAGGGCAACTGCATGTAACAAGGAATTGGTGTAATATTCTGGCATCAAATTTCATTTAGGATTTTTTAATTTATATTTCTGGAAGCCACAGCCATATAAGAGTGTAAACTCGTCAAATTGTCTTGGAATAGGAATACTTGTGCCAAAATGATTGGTTGACGAAACTAGCCAAAGTTTTGCCTGGTCTTAATGTTTATCAATCTATATTTATATCTATAATACTATTAATAAAAGGAATTTCTTAATTTATATTCTCTTTTATCTTTTTCACTAATAATAGTTAATAAGCATTAATAAATTGTATCTGAGCATTTATAAGCATTTATTTATAAATTGAATTATTATTTTTATTTTGGGTATAATATCATATTTTTCACTGCATGTGCAATATTAATGAAAGACAGTTTTCCTTTGGATGTTTAATATAGCATACTCATTACTGGTTGAAAAGGTAGTTGATATTTCTTTTTTTAATTCTTACAAATGTGAACTGTGGTTTGTGATTGTGTCTGATGAGAGGTATTTATTTATTTTTAATTGCTAAAGAACAAGGAAGTAATGTCATATTGTCATGATATGTTATGGATAGCTCTTTTAACTCTCTTCGTGTTCTTGCATGTTGTGTTTTAAGTGTCGGGACTTGGGTTGGGGTGGGGTGTGGTCTTGCATGTTGTTAAGTAGCTCAAAATTGTTTTCTGTCATGTGGGTGGACTTGATTGATCAAGCGAGTAATTTGATTTTAAACTTTTAAGATTATTTCTCTACTTTGTATGGAGTATGGACTTGTTGGATTGACAAAGTGGGTAATTTTTTCAAGATTTTTTCATTAGATTGAATGTTGAGTTGTTTAATTGGTGAAATAGCTAGTTAGAATTTCAAGATTCTTTCATTCTTTGCATGTGGACCTGCAGATTTTGAGTGAGAATGTTGTGATGTATTTACTGTATTTTAATGGAATCAGAATTCCTAAATAAAAGTTCTGTTATATATGTCTACATTTAGGCAACAAATTATAATTTGTAGAGACTTTAGTGGTTTATTTATTTATTTATTTTTTATTATTCTCTGCTCTTGAAATAAATCTAGTTTTGTTTTTAATTGATTTTCTGTACATGTTATAAGATCAGATTATAGTTCTGAGATCTAAATTCTGATTGGATATAAATTGAGTTTGTTCTGTTCAAGAGTTGGAATAATATCCCATCGATTGTTACAAACTACATTTTGTACCTGGGGATTGCATGTTTATGTATATTTAGTTCTTATGCTATTAATCACATTTACAAATCTCCAATCTTGCAGATATCAGCCTTGAGGTGTCCAGTTAGGTTGAGGTTTGTGTGTTAACATCCCACATGGGTTAGGCATATAATGAAGGTAAAATGGTCTTTGTGAAAAGTTAGAAGATAAAATGAAGGTACATTGTTTTTTT